CGCCTGTGGGGGCTCCGCGGCGGGAGCCGGTGCCGGGCGCGGCGCTTCGCGCTCGGTTCCTTCTCCTTCCCCTTTCCCTTCCCCCGGTGCCTCTGCGGGTTCCCCGGGAATCGCAGCCGAGCTCGGTTGGCTCTCAGCACCTCTAGGTGCTTCCAGGGCTCGTGTGCTCCTGGCCTGCGGCAATGCATCTGTAGTAGCTTAATCTGAAGGGAAATCAGCCTTCTCCTCAGCTTCCAGGTTGTTGCACATGCAGAAGGCACAGAGCGTATTTCAGCCCTTAGGGTTGAAATAAAGGCGCCATGAAGTCATTCTAGGTCCCAGTCCTGTCACAGGCTCTATGTGGTGTGTTCATACAAGATACTGCAAAGTCAGGGGAAAACAAGCTGCAGCCATGGAAGAAGTTTGGAGTGACTGATCCATGCAGTGTGTTCAAGCAAATGGGAAGTTTGAACATCATGAAATACGATGACACTACGATGAACTCAGTGATGCTGTCAGTGTTGGTGTGACTTTGTAATGAGGGGCAAAACTGAACTTCCCCCAGTGCTGGCAGCAGGCACTCATCGGCCAGGGTGGCTGAGAAGGCAGCACGTCCCCCCAAATCTGGGTTTGACATTAAATTCCCTTCCTTAATAAAAATATTCAACATTCTCCTGTAAAAATGCATCTGTTTGTTACTCTTACTAAATAAATAAAGCACCACAGTATAATACCTGAATTTCCAGAGAGATGCAGATGAGAAATGAGTATACACGGCCAGAGTCAGTATTAAGTCATTTCCTGGTGTTATGCACAAAGGCATGCAGCCATGCAGTGTGTTCAAGCAAATGGGAAGTTTGAACATCATGAAATACGATGACACTACGATGAACTCAGTGATGCTGTCAGTGTTGGTGTGACTTTGTAATGAGGGGCAAAACTGAACTTCCCCCAGTGCTGGCAGCAGGCACTCATCGGCCAGGGTGGCTGAGAAGGCAGCACATCCCCCAAAATTTGGGTTTGACATTTAATTCCCTTCCTTAATAAAAATGTTCAACATTTTCCTGTAAAAATGCATCTGTTTGATACTCTTACTAAATAAATAAAGCACCACAGTATAATACCTGAATTTCCAGAGAGACGCAGATGAGAAATGAGTATACACGGCCAGAGTCAGTATTAAGTCATTTCCTGGTGTTATGCACAAAAGCATGCAGAGGAAAAGAAAAAAGTAGTAATTAAGAGAATGTGCTATTAGCCATACTAACTAAAACCACCTTGAGACAGATAAAGCAAAAAACAAGTAGTACTATATTGGTTTATACTCATGGTGTACTCAAGCTAGGGCCTGATCCAACTTGCTGCAGACAAGGCAAGTTTCTAGTGACTCGGTAGGGTAGGTCTTTACTCAGAATTACACAAGCGACCTACTGCGCTCCTCAGTTTCAGCACCTGGGTATTACCAGAAGTAGAACAACAGGCGCTTACTTGGCAAACTGGGTTGTATAAATATTTCATTGGAAATCCAGATTGTGTTTCAGTCTTTAAGCCCTCTGATGACCATCAAAGTAACTAGTCATGAAAACAGACCTCCCTAAACTCAGGTATAGCCCTCAGCATTTCTGTTCTTGATAATTAGCACTAAAGTACGACCATTAACGGCTTTTTACGGGCAATTTTCTTATGTACAGCTTAAAAAACTCTGTTTAAGCGCTATCGCTCTTGGGTGATCCACAAGTCTATCGTGACGGTCTGGCGGTGCTGGGGGCAGCTGTGGCCCGCCCGCGCGGCCTGACCGTTCCTGTCGCCGCTGCTGCCGCTTCCCGTCCCGCGGGCGGGAGCGACCGCCCTCCCCATCGACCCAGGAG